TATATCTTATAAATTGAATGCCTACACCATTTTTGAATAATTGTTCACCATTTGAAATGCTTTTTGGCACTCCTCATGTTTTGACACATCTTAAGGTGTTTGGGTGTTCCTGTTTTCCTTTATTAAGACCTTACATTCAGACAAAGTTATAAGCTAAAACCACAGAGTGTGTATTTCTTGGGTATGCATCAAATATAAGGGATTTATTTGTTTTAATGTGTTAAAAGGTAGGTTCTACATTTATAGACATGTCGTGTTTGATGAGACTAGATTTCCCTACCCTCACTTGTCTGCATTATCTAAGCACAAACCTATGACATCCTTTTCCTCTCAGTCATGGTCACCAATTTCAGTTCATAATATGCACAATACCTTAGTTCCCTCTCAAACAAACCCAACACACTCACCTCTACCACCAAACTATCCACCTACTGAAATATTATCTTCCCCATCAGTTTCTTCTACATTACCCCATTTGTCACCAGCTTCACCAGCCAGTACCTCTTCTCAGTCCATTACTGCTACTGCAAGTTCTATTTCTCAACTCCCTATGAACTCTGAATTTAGTCCGAATTTACTTCAAGTGGTGTTACCACTTGCTCCACTTAATATGCATCATATGCAAACTAGAAGTAAGAATGACATCATTAAGAAGAAGGTATTTTCAGTCAAGTGGCTGAATCTCGTGATGTTGATTTAACTTGGGTGGAACGTACAACATATAAATCTGCAATGAAGGTACCCGTTTGGTACAAAGCAATGCATGAAGAGGTTAATACATTGCATACACAACATACTTGGAGTCTTGTACATTTGCCTCCTCACAAGAACCTTGTTGGTTGTAAGTGGTTTTTCAAACTCAAAAAGAAATGAGATGGGACTGTGGCTAGGCATAAGGCTTGACTTGTTGCTAAGGGGTTTAGTCAAGAGCCTGGATTGAACTATGGTGAAACCTTTAGTCCCGTGGTTAAACCAACCACTGTGAGGTTAGTTATAGCCTTGGCAGCTCACTTCAATTGGACTCTTCGACAGTTGGATGTCAAGAATGTTTTTTTGCATGGTTTGTTAAATAAAGAAGTGTACATGTCTCAACCTCCTGGTTTTGGAGATCCTGTACATCCTGATTTGGTTTGTAAATTACACAAGTCACTATATGGATTGAAACAGGCTCCTAGAGCCTGGAATGACAGATTTACAAGCTTTCTTCCCACTCTTGGGTTTCAATCCACATATGCTGATTCTTCTTTATTTGTTAAGATTGTTGGCAGTGACATTGTGGTACTCATACTTTATGTCGATGATATTATTATTACTGGCAGTTCTCATTCAGCTATTCAACAGGTGATCAACTCTTTAACCTCTGAGTTTGACATCAAGGACTTGGGGGAGCTCCATTATTTTTTAGGAATTAAGGTTCTCAAAACTGCTACAGGATTATTCTTGTCTCAGTCCAAATATATACTGGATTTGTTGCAGAAAGTTGAGATGGTAAATTGTAAGCCCTGTGACACCCTATGTTTACCTTACAATCGGTTGGTTAAAGATGATGGCACTCCCTATAATAATCCAACAGCATACCAGAGTATTGTTGAAGCCCTCTAATACCTCACTTTCACTCACTCGGACATTGCCTTCTCAATTCATCAAGTCTGTCAGTTTATGCAATCTCCAATGGTGTCACATTTTACAGCTGTAAAGAGGATTTTGAGGTATCTAAAGGGGACATTATATGTTGGCATCTCTTATACTCGAGGAGATTTAATACTGAAGGAATTTAGTGATGCAGATTGGGCTGGTGATCCCAATGATAGGCGTTCAACTACTAGTTTAGTTGTCTTCTTGGGCAATAACCCTATTTCTTGGTCCTCCAAGAAACAAAACACTGTTTCTCGTTCCTCAACGGAAGCAGAATACAGAGCTATGTCTACTACATTAGCTGAGCTTGATTGGATTCAACAGTTGCTAAAATTTATGCATCTCAAGCCTACTGTTCCTCTTGTTCTCTTATGTGACAATCTTTCTGCCATAGTATTGTCTTTTAATCTGGTTCAACACCAACGCACGAAGCACATTGAGATCGATGTACACTTTGTGTGTGAAAGGGTTGCTAAGAAGAAACTATGTGTTCAGTTTGTCTCCTCTCGAGAACAATTTGCAGATATTTTAACTAAGGGCCTTAGTACTCCTCTTTTTCAGTCTCATTGTTTCAACCTCATGCTCGGATCATCCACTCATGAGTTTGAGGGGGCATGTAAGGATATAGACAGTGGCTAGGATCATGCCATTTGTCCAAAGGTTGTAAACCTTCTAGGATCATGCCATTTGTCCAAAGGTTGTTAACCTTAGTTAGATAGTTAGTTAGAGAGTTAGTCTTCTATATACATACATCATTGTAATTACTTTGAGATTAAGAAAAAGATCAATATAATAGTTTGCAGCTTCTCTCTCTAAAATCTTTCTTTCTCTCTCTCTATTTCTTGAATTATGATCTTCTCCTTCGATCTTCCTCAGTCTACATTAACAAATTCTAGGGCTTGTACAAATTGATTTTCTTTAAATTGGTTTCTAGTTGATTTATTTAATTGTCTTTATTTTAAATTCGTTTTTATTATTTTAAATCTCAAAATCAATATTTTCCAAACTCTATTTTAAATAATTAATTAAGAGTTGGTTTTAAACACCAAATATTCATTCAATCCCTGTGGAAAACGACCTTGCTTGAGCCGTTTATACTACAACTACCTTGTTCTCTTGCAAGTATTTTGTGTGATTTTAACCTTCTTTTCATAGGTTCTAAAAATCCTATCCACTATATAAGAAATAGTCAAATTGCTTATAAACACATACAAGATCTCTTAATTCCCTGATATTCTTTTCAACTACAAATCAAATAGTTCCAAATTTCCAAGTGTGAAGACAAATGGAGAGAACCGATGTCTCTGTCCAATTTAAAAGTCATATACCATTACCGTGTATGGAATATTTGTAAACACGGGTGATTGTTTAAAGAATCATGCGTTGTGTCTAATGTGTAATAGTTATCTCTACGAGTGTTAATTTGGGTAACATGAGTTGGCGGTTATCTGCAATTTGGCAGAGCTATATATATGTTATGATAATTAATCTGGTTGGATTCTCACTTCACAATTGCACAATTGCAGTAGTTTAGAGTATCGCATTATCCAAAACGAGAGGAAAATTCTGATGGACAAGAACTTTTACATTGTAATGGTTTAGGAACATTGCCGATTCATCTCTCTTTCTCTCAGTGCCTTCTGGGATTTTTCGGTGTCACCATGTTTGATTTCGATGCATTCAATGGTTCATGTTAAATTTTTAAAGACAAACTGAACATTGTGTACATAAATATGACCTGCAAAAGAAATCAGAATTGTAAGTTGATTAGAGTCGTGCGCTTCTCTTTATGTTCTTAAGTTCGAATGTCCATGATTTAGTGTAGAATATTGTTTGTTCAAAAAAGAAATGGTACTAAGATTGCAATGTGACACTTTTAAGCGGCCTTCTTTGGTGCATGTTCAGGTGTGTCATTGCAATCATACTAACATGATTGTTGCACTTGAAGATCAACAGTGATGCTCGTCTTAATTCCGGAAGAGCATAGTTAATCGTAATTAACGGGAACAACTGGTTTAAGTTGTTACTCCCTAATATCAGAAACTCCACAGCTACCAAATATAGCTTGTTTGTATTATACTTGAATAATCCCGAAACTATCAAGCACCGGTCAACTTCATACGTTCAAGGACCCATTGAGGGATTCATGCTGAGACACCCCTACCGAAGCACAAGAGTTTTCTTCACCCAGGAGGCCAATCCCATCACGACACGTGGCAACATAAGAATAAAGCTCCTAGAGTCCCACATCGACCATGGATGAAAGCTGGAGACTCTCCTCAACTATAAAAGAAGACCATTCTCCTACAAATGGCAAATGTCATTATTGTACTTAAACTAGTTATTAGAACCCACTAATGATTATTATGCTTGAACCTATGTATTTATGTAATATTAATGAGAAATCCTCTACTCCGTGGACATAGCTAAATTTAGGGTGAACCACGTACATCATGTGTTTGCTTCCCTATCTCTATCTCTTTACACACCATCATCACTAAGTGACCGGAGCAACCGAGCGAAAATTACAAACTTGACACTTTAATTTGTTCTAAAGTCTTCACTAGTTTTGCGCATCAACATAGCTCAAGGTACATAAAAATGGAGATGGTGAGTCTTACCTTCTGCCCATAAGCAGTTTTCCAATGTCGGGATAACTCTTGATCCGCCGATTCCCGTCCATGCATCGTTGTAGAAGCAACCCGGCATACCAACAAAAGAACTGCCAACTGGAAAAGAAGGATTAAGCTCAGCCACCCTCATTCAGAAAGTGCAAATGGAATTGATAGAATCCCAACTCTTTAAAACTTAAACAAGGCCATTAAGAATGTTTTGGACTAATATGGTTCATACATGCTCAATAGCCAACTGAACTCATTTACGTTTGTTAAGAAAGTTAAAAATTAACGTGGCATGACAGAGAGAAAAAAGAGAGGAATTGACCTGATAGTGCTTAGCCTTTGGAAAAGTCAGTGTTGTCAGAACTGTTAGAATTGAGACACAAAAGAACCCCTATTTGTGCTTAGCCTTTGGGCACAAAACATCCTATTGTGTGCTATCATCAAAGGCAATGCCTATAGAGGGCACAAATAGAAATATAGTTGATGCACTGTTGCTATTGGTCTATGAGTACAATTGTTGGTGCTTTTTGACCTCAAAGGGCACAAATAATTTATTGTGTGCAGTGCTCATATTTTTGTAGTGTAAATTATTATTAGTAAAGCAGTGTAAAAAGTTAAAAGCCATGATCCGGATTTGAACGTCTTGAACGATAATTCATCGTCAAAAGTGCTTCTGCATAATTGCAGAAAATCGGAAAAGAATCGTGGTGAAAATTCTACTTGTTGCAGAAGTTTATCAGAGTCACTAATTAAAATGCTCCAATATATGATTTCAGAATTGTCTTACAATTTGTATCACAGAAGTGTACGTACCCACTACGCCAACAAACGACCCTATAACCATAATCCCAACAATTACCACCAACTCGAACCCAAATCTCCGAGCAGCAACGTTAATCTTAAGGTAGAACAAGCACGGCAGCAAGACTGAGACCGTCACGCTCAAAGATGCGCCGACAAAAGCCATTAGGTAGCTAAAAAAAGGAATGGATAATGCCACAATTACGGTGCTAATTACAATTAAGGTTCGCACGAAGATGCTAATAGTTAGGCTGTTGCGAAAAGGGCGTGTATCCTCAATAGCAGCAGCAATTGGAGTGATTATAATTGCATACTTTGTGAGGGGATTAATTATAGTAATGTAAATTGCTATCCTTGAACTAATTTTTCGTATTGGAAGATTTAATGTGACTTGAGACTTCAAGTCTTGTCCGAACATCAAGTAACCCAAAACCGCCATTGATCCGTAGGTGATGGTGCTTACAACGAAGCAGAAAAGTAACACCTGCAATGAGGGGGGAAATGGACATGGTCAGATCAGTGCAAAAGATTTCAGGAAAATTGCACACAAAAGAACCCGTTACAAATTTTTGATCAAAAATCAACTTGAAGGAGACTAAACAGACAATAAGCCGTACGTGAATCACGATTTAATGCCTCTTTATAGTCCGCTTAAGTGTTCCTCTAGTTAGATACCAATTAAGTGTTCCTCTAGCTCAACTTTTTTTTTTTTTGGTCTTAAAAAATTGTCAATGTGCGCATGTTTCCCTGAATTTTAACCGCACTTTGAAAATACTGACCTTGGAGAATTTGCTTCTATCTTTCATGGAATTGCACAATGTGGGGAAAACTGCATGGCCACAATAGCAAAACAGGTACAAGCTCACAGCAGTAGGCAATCCTTTGAAATTCAGAAGAACATCTCCTTCATGAAACCCTACACCATCAACTGTGCCAACCCAAAACACGAAAGCAACCAAAAGAAGAGAAGCAAAAACCCCTCCGGCAGAAACATACGCCAACAATCCCAGATTCTTCAGCCATGTAGTTGGCAGAGTTACAAGGGCAGTGAGCAAAACAAAGCATTGTTTGCCTCCAACTTTGAAGCCTGCCATGTTGAACCCCATGCTTGGGAACAACTGGTTTAAGTTGTCACCTTCTAGTATTAGAAACTCAACAGCTACCAAATACAGCTCAAGGTACATAAAAATGGAGATGGTGAGTCTTCCTTTCTGTCCATAAGCAACTTCTCCAATATCGGGATAACTCTTGATCCGCGGATTCCCGTCCATGCATCGTTGTAGAAGCAACCCGGTATACCAACAAAGAAGCGCCAACTGGAAAAGAAGGATCAAGCTCAGCCACCCTCCTTCAGAAAGTGCAAATGGAATTGATAGAATCCCAACTCCTGAAGAATTAAACAACGTGATTAACAATGGCAGAGCTAGAAATTTTTCACAAGGTGGGCTAGCTTAAAATTTTAAATCTTTATAAACAAAGAAACTTGATACTATATTTTTTACAATATCAGCTAGTTTAAGAAAATTTTCACAAGATGAGCCAAGAACTTTTCGTTATTCAAACAAATTCAAACTTGTACATGTACAAGAAGCGATGAGAAAAAGGATGTGAGAAAAATAGATGGTTTGTAAACTGTATTATATCATTAAACCTAGAGAATTCGAATCAGTAACTAAATATACGGTGGGCTACATTCGAAAATCAATAAAAATTACATGTAAAATTTTATTTTCTACCGAAAACTACCTGGGCTACAGCCCAAGGTAGCCCTTAATGTGGCTCCGCCAGTGGTGATTAAGAATGTTTTGAGCAAAAGAGGTTATACATGCTGGTCTAACCATCTGACCTAATTTACGTATGTCGTAATTAAAAAAATAAAAATATGGTATGACAGAGAGGAAAAAGAGATAACTTTACCTGATAATGTGTTGAGACCATTGAAACATGTTCTGCAAAATGTTGTGCCTCCACAATTGGTTGGTTCCTGTGAGGGTAGGTTTTGGCTCTCAATTTTCTTTGCTTTAAGGCAGTCCATTTTTTTTGCTGCCCACTATGAAACTTTGGTTCCGATGAGAATGCAAGGGATATCCAGATATATAGTGCAAAAAGTTGACCAGCATTGCCAGAAATGATTGAATTTCAATAACAAATCATTTGTTCCTGGAAAAAATAAAAGGGAGGATGATGGTGAGGATGAGTAGATAGCCACACAAACAAACATCATAACCAATAAATTAAGGATCATGTTAGGACGACCAAATTTATAAACTAAATTTACAAATCAAATGATGTGTCATCAATAGGAAAAAAACACATTAATTAACACTTAAGTAACAATTCAATTATCAACAAACAAATAATTTGATTTACAAAATTTGGTTTAAAATTTTTATCTCATAACATTATCCATAAATTAAAGAGAACATTAGCTAGGCAGCTTGCAATATTTGGAATTTATTAATGGTTGAAAATCACATGCCTATGTTGCTAAAGGTTTCAAAAGGAAACCCACTTACATGTCACAAACATTGATGTGGAAGAAATTAAGCTTACTTTCCCTGAGGGTCCATTTTGAGAGGAGACGTATGCCTTTTTTGTCATGCATTATTTGTGATATCATTAATAAGAGTTTGGAGCTGTGATTGGCACTCATACGTAAAAGTTATTCCACACTTCTCTTATTTATAGAATATTCTTGCAAATAGAACTTCTAAGAATGTCAATAACGGACCATAATTGTATTTCTTTATAGATAAAACTAACACCAATATTAGATTTTTTTTTTTTCAGCGTATTTCTTGTGTTTTTCATACACTAAAAAAATTAGTAATGACATTAGTTTTGTCCTCCAATTATCAATTGGAGGGATTTCACGTCATCAATCATGTAATTATTATTCGACCTAAAACAACACGTACTTGTTGATCTAGATATCAGCCAAATTAAGATAGTTGATTATAACAAAATTTTACCATATAGAAAAGTATTTAGGTTGTCAAGTAAGTTCTTTTCATGGGAAACAATGGCGAGTTTAACATTTTTTTATAAGCTTATTCTTCTATCTTAAACATATCTTTTTCCTTTTTATTCCTTATATATTCACACTCCCCGTTAGAATCAGAAAGAAAATTAGATGCAACATGAATGTAAAACTGTCGATATTTTATATTTATTATGTACTGATATGTATTTTAACTCTCTTTAGCATCATTTGATGACTAATATTCTTAAGTATCAAATCACTAATTTGGTCAACATCCATTAAGTTCCCATTCTAAAAGAATTATGAATACACATGAAAATGGCACAACCCGAAAATCCACTCTCCACGTTCCTGGTTTTATCTTAATTCACGATCAAACTGGAACACATGCCCTTTTCAACGCTTTTGTTTAAAGGTAATTAAAATTGTTTAACACAGAAGAATATTTTAAACATAATCAGTGTGCATGTTCTGTGCAAATTTTAAGGCGCAAAGAAAAACATATGCTTTCTGTTAAAGACAACGAATACTGTTTTTAAATTTCTTTCCTAGGAATGGATTGCTTTTAGTGTTAGTAAGTGGATGATGCTCTTGGGCACACAGGTCTTGCACTATAGAAAGAACAATAGGAGCATTGGTCTCTTAATTAAAAATTTGTAATCGGTGGTTTCTTAACTCATCAAAACATGCAGTTATGATTATTTTCTTCAACTTCATGAAAACTTTCATCAAAATGAGTCATGTTGGAAAAATCATTGCTAAAATTGAGTTAGAGTTGAGGGACATTGCTAATTTGTTACAATGTTCTCATTTGATTTTCCATATTTACACCTTGATTCAGCCTTACGTGCGTAGCACGTGACTCATTTTGACAAAAGTTTTAGAGGAGTTGATGAGAAAGACCATGACTGCACATTTTGATGAGTTGGGCGACCAATGATCATAAATTTTTAATTGAGGGGCCATTCTTCCAATTAGGTTAATGTTCAGGGACTATTACTACAATTTCCTCTTTACAATATTGGCACCTATTGCTTTATAACTGGGACGTATGTCTGAAATGACTCATTTAAACGATTCTTTACCTTAGCCAAAGATTGAACCTCTGCAATTTTAAATGTGAAAAAAGCTCGCCTGCTTTCAACCAAATTCGATATATTTATACTGAAATTATCGAAAAAAAGTACTGACTACTAACAGTGAACCCTAGGGTAAGGGAGGGGCATTGTTGGATTGAAATAATAATGGTTAAATAGACTTTTGATACAAGTGATCCAAATTTTGAGACTGAGATTTGAACGCAGGTGTACAAAAGAAGCACATTTGCTCTAACTAATGTAGTTACACCTATGTCTAAAAAAAGTAGTCTAATATTAGATTTGTATACATTTTTTTTTTTTTTTGGTGAAGGTATAAATTTTAATTTTCCAATAGACAAATAAACATCTTATTTAAGTGTGCCACTCCTTTTTTAAATGTTTCCCATGATCGATCGATGTTTCGAAGCGTCAAGTCATCTAGTGGTATTGTCATCATTTGCATAGCATTATACATGAATAACATGTATAAAGAGAGTGGAAATATGAGAACATGAATACAGATAAAGGTGCTTCCATGAAAGGCGTATCCGAAAAAAAATATTCGGAGGGTCATATGCGTAATAGTTCACAAACATTCTTACCTAAATAATGGCCTTGAAATTAAAACATAACTCCATTATTCATAATTTCATTAGAATTGAGTGCAATTGGAAATTTTAGTTGGCTTTGGGGTCTGTATGATTAGATATCGGTCTGTTTCTCTTGTGTAAAATCAATTTTTTTTTTTTTTGTAAGTGAATTGAACCAAAGGTTCAAAATCAAGCGTATTAAAAGGAGAAAAATGAGTTGGGGGTACTGCGTAGCAACAACAAAACACTAGCGCGCTGAAACTAGTACGCACACAATCATATCCTGCCCTGCCCATTTTTCGTTGAGGCAATTTATCAAAGCATTTGCCGGCAATTTGCGAGGGCAGCTAAAACTTTCAAAGGGCCAGAACCAGGTCTTCCATGAAGGTTTGGCACAATTGAGAGGATCAGCTGATTACCTCTATCCTTACATGGATCCACCCCAGTGCATATGCATATGCATACGCTTGCATGTATAGATAACATGAAGACGTTAGAGATCATAATCCATCACCATTTACATATGATCATAATCAATCACCATCTAAGTTTCGTAATGAATTTGGTATGAATCATGAAAAGATTCTAAAACTGGAAACATCGATCTCAGGGAACCTAACTTCTTCTTCTTTTGGTTACCCAGAGAAAGGGCACACATCACAGATTCTTTATGCAGCCTTTAAAGACTCTCAAACCTAACTGATTGCTTGGGCAAATAAAATTTATGGACGTGGATCAGTGGTTCTACTTTGTAGACTTAAAAGAAATTGCATGGAATATGCATTATTATTTTCAAACTTTTTGTAAAGAATTTGAAAGGAATGTGACAAAAAAAAATATATATGTCACGATTAAAATATTCAGGTTTAGTCACAGTTTGGTGTCTGTATTGAAGATGTGATTAAAGAAGAAATTAAAATATTGCGTTAAATAAAAACTAATTTATTTCAATTCCCGTCAAAATAGTAAGATGAGAAGTGATAAATTTGTTTTATGTCTGACCCCTTATATTCACCTCAAGGTTCTCCACTAGAAGTTTTCTGGCGTATACTCGAAACACCGCCATATGATATTAGAGTTTAATTCAATTTATAATACTTTTTTTTTACAAGCAATGATATTTAGTATTTTAACACAAAAAATACATAGGTGCCAATTGCGTACAATCTTTTTTTTTATTCATATTATAACACAAAAAATAATACATGTGTTTTTGAACAAATTAACGAGACCATAAGCATAGCCTATAGAGTTTATGGCATGTTTAAGCATGAGTAATCAAAATAAAAAAGTAAAATTGAATTCAATTACGAGATATTTCGGTGTTTACTAAATATTTAAAATTCAAACACTAGGTGGGACCCTCGTAAATATTGAAATCCAACTTGAAAATTTAGAAGAATTGAATTCCATACGATTCGATGGTATTCGGATTTCGAATTTCGGATTGTTGGGGCGTATATACTTTAGGCCAACTCCAAACTTGGGCTAAAAGCCAAATTTTTAGCCCAAAATTCCCCCCAAACACCCCCCAACCCAAGCTAAAATATTGGGCTAAAAGGGGAATGCTAAAGTTGGGCCAAATCCCCCCCCCCAAACGCGTGGACTCGCCCCGTTTTGGGCCACTCTCGGCCCGCCGACTCGCACACGCGCCCCACGCAGGCAAGTTGCAACCGGAGCCCGACAGGAAGTGGGCCCAGCGTCAGGGCCTTGTCGGCCACTCACCCGAGCCCAA